GTACTAGTTAAATAAAATGCTTTTAAAATATATTTTTTTTAATTTGAAATTAAAACTATAGTAAATTTATGTAAGGATAATTGCTAACCACAATTTTTTTACTTAATGTATAATATTTATATTGACTACCTTTTTCAGGTTTATTTTTTTAAGTATTTATAGAGAAGTAAAAAAATGTCGTTAGAAATAAATTTTTCCCGTACATTATTTGTAAATTTTGAATAAAAGCAAACATAAAATAATTAATTAAAGATATGTTGCATTTGTTATATTCCTTTTTTTGTGTGCAAAAAAATGAAAATAAAAATCGCAATTCACATATATACATATAATTGTAAATACAACTCGTACATATCACGGGCAAAACACTAGTATATATATAAGGATTTGAGTCTTTTAATAAAATAAATATTGAATTTTTAATTTATCAATTTAAATTTTTATATTTTTATTTATTTTCAATTTAAACTGTTCATTTATTTTTGTTAGGTAAAATCAACTGAAAAATAATATTTTAATTATTAAACATATATATAAAATGTTTAAAATACTATTTTTCATTGAATTTAATAATTAAAATATATCTATTTCCATCGATTATACTTAACAAAAATAAACAAATAGTTTAGATTGAAAATAAATTTAAAAAAATTATAATTTAAATTGACAAAATTAAACGTTTACGTTTACTTCGTTATGACGGTCAAATTTTGAATTTTCTTTTATAATTTTCTCTTTTTTTAAAAGAGTTATTTTTAAAGAATTAATCTTATAATGACCATACTCATATATCACATTTAATATGTTGAAGACTTTAATAAGCTTGAATGATGAAATTTATTCAACCAATACAATTATAATAAATGAGATGTTAAATTTAATATAATATAAAATATAATTACTGTAGCATTATTCTTCTGAAATATCTCAAATTACAAATCAATGTAAATTTTCTTGGTCGTGACATCATCATTGACGAAGATGGAGTTTACGGTGACTTATAAGGGGTGACATCATTGTTGGCGAATATGGGGCAACAGGGGTGACATCTAGGGGTGTAAATTTGGCTTGGCTCAGCCCGAGCTCAAGCCAGCCAATGTCAGGCCGCGTAGACTCCAACCAAAATTCAAGTCGACCAGGGCCAAGCCACAAGCTAGAAAATTAGGCTCAAACCTAGGAGGTATTCGGGCCGACAAGCTAGGTCTAGGCTCAAAAAATTAGGCTCAGACCTAGGAGTTTGGTTATTAGAGTGCCTTGGTTGCATTTGGAACAGATTGAGAGTTAGTTGTTCAAAATGGGTTCTGCCCAAATTTTGGCTTCTTTACTCGAGCGACACTTCTTGCGCTCGTGCGGTCTTTGAGAACTCTTAATACTTTTACAGGCCTACAAAGATACTAGGAGTTGGCATTTTACGCTCGAGTGGTCATTCTTGTGCTCAAGCGGTGTTGGCTTGAGCGACTCTTCTTGAGCTCAAGCGATGGTCTTCTAGATGCAAAATTTCTGAGAGTTTGTTTTCTTCAATCGAGTAGTAAACTTCTTCGCTCGAGTGGTCCAACTTATTGTGTTTGGTCGCTCAAGCGACACTTTATTCGCTTGAGCGGTCTGCGCGTATTTCAGTCCGTAAAAGTCACTTTTTAGATCACTTTTTTATCTCTCTCTCTCTCTCTCTCTCTCTCTCTCTCTCTCTCTCTTAACATTCTAAAAACCCTAGATCTAAAGCTTCTCTCTCTAAAACTCACATTCTCTCTACAAATACACCTAGATCCATTAGTTTCTATACCCTAGTCCCTTTGATAAAAAGGTAGAGCACTCCTAGAGCTTCCTTTCAATCGAAACAAAGTTGATTTTCGGTGTCTTTGAGGTTCCTCCACTGTCCTTCTCGTCTTCCAAGCTTGAGGTAGGGATTCACTTTCTTATGATTTTAACTTAGTTATTTGCTATTTCTAAAATAATATTGTGATTTGGGAATTTCTGGACAAATGTAAGGTTTTGGTTTGAAATCAAAAGAGTGGTTTTCAAATGGATTCTTAAAAAGGGTTATGGGTTTGTAAACAATGATTAGTTGTGATAAAATGATGCGTTTTTGTCATTGGATTTGGTTTTTAAAGAAAAATGGGATTTTACCCTAGAAATATCAAATGTTGATTTTGTAACGGTAAAGGAATTGATGTTAGAATTGTGAATTTGGGTTGATATTTATGAGAATAGTGGAGTTGAATATGTATTATCACTCTCATCTTGAAATTTGAAAAGTTTATCTTTATGAAAATTATCTAGCTATTTAGAGATATTTATTTTGGGCTATCTGTGGAGGATATCTATAATTGTTGTAGAAATTGCGTGAGGATTATGTAAATTAAAACTAATTTCTCATCATTTTGAATTGATTATTGTTGCATACTTACTACATTGAAAATGTGCATTGTTTTGCGAAAAATGGGTGAATCTAGGAAGTGAGTGTTGTCTCGTTGAAATAAGTTGGCATGTGTGTCCATGATGAAAGTCTTAAAAACAACGCGTTTACATGTGCTACTTTTGTACCAGGGAATCATATGAATTGAAAAGGATATTGTATTCAGAATAGTACTGTTATTCATTAATATTGTGGTTGGTTTTATTGTAATTATTTCAAGACGTTATAACTTGGTATCAGAGTGTACCGGGTTTGAATACTTTGGGTAAGTGGGAAGTGGTTCTTAACAGAATGGATTTGTCTCGCTTGATAAAAATATTTGTATGTATGGTATGCTACGTGATAACAAGTTTATGTGGCTAAATGAGTATGGAATTTAATTTCTAAGATGTTGATTGGATCTGCAAGTTTCTAGAAATCCTGTTAGAAGAGCATTTGATCACTGCTATTTCTAACTAGAACTCCAGCAATGTCGCGGGACGATCATTATCTAGAAAAGAAATTCGTATCTGTTTATGTGGCTACGTGCTTATATGGAATGAATTAATGGTTGTAAATCACATTAGGAGGTGAGTGAATTAGCTTCGGTACATTTGTAAATGTGTTAATCTCTAGTATTACCTTCATTAGAATATCAGGAAGTGGACGTGGTGGTAATAGGCGTGGCAGGCCAAGATGGCAAGCGAGGCCAATGGGCCGAGCCGTGCTTCAAAATGACGGCCCATGCCCAAGCCCAGGGTTCCAAACTGGGTTTAGGCTCGGGTCTAACTGGACCGGGCCCACATCAGGCTACGGGCGGGCTTCGGGCCGCCCACGAGCCTCAGGCCATTTTTACACCCATATCGATGGAGATCTTTCAAACAAGGGCATAATCGAAAGGGGAAATTACATATCGGTTTAATTATAAAAAATTAATTATAAATTTTATTAGGGTGAAACACTAATAAATCCTAAATAGTGATCGTATGAACTGTTTGGTCTTCTCTTTTTTCTTATGGATCCAAAGGTTCCATTGTAGTGTAAATTATATAAGGAGCCAAATATAAACACGCATGTGTTATATGTTGAGGGACAAATATGAATTATCTCATGATGTTAAAATTACTAAACGTAACACTTCAAAAAAATTCCTTAGTGCACTTTTCCCAAACGTAATACTCAAAAGTAACATTCTAATATAACACCTAAATCTCCTTAGTGTACTTTTCTCAAATGTAATAAAGTAACATTACAAAAAAACTTTTTAGTGTACATTTTACAAACATAACACTCTAATCAATGTAACACACAAAAGGTCCTTACTGTATTTTTTTTTCCAAATGTAATATTTTAAAAATGTAACACTTCAATGTAACACATTAAAAAACTCCTTACTAGACTTTTTCTCATACTCAACAATGTAACATTCTAAAAAACTTGTGTATTTTTTCCAAACGTAACATTCAATCAATGTAACACATAAAAACTCCTTAGTATACTTTTTTTTCCAAATGTAGCATTCTAATATAATACTCCAATATAACACCAGAAAACCACACTAACGGAAATGTAGATTTCTACGCTCGAAAACTAACACTTTAGCCACCAATCTCCCAAAAAGAATCTTTCACACATCACCTTTCCATTTCCCTTCTAAAAATGAATCAAAAAATTAGAAAAATAAATCACAAAAGGGCATTCACTTAAACTCAAATGGCACCAAATCAAACAAATAAAAATTTCCAAAACAAAAAAGACTAATTGGTTCATAAGAAAACTCTTAGGACTAAACATTCCCCCATATGAGATTTATGAGTAAATTTTCATTTTTATTAATTTTGGACTTGAATTGAAAATAGGTTATTTTAATAATTTTTGGTTAAAATATGAAATAAAGAAATTAGTATATTTAGAATGATTATTTTGTCTTTCTACACAACAAAAAAAAAAAAAAAAGTGCAAAAAGTAAAGAGAAAAATCTTTGATTTTTTTGGGTATAATTTGTTAACTTTTTAATTTTTTAGTGACCTTTTGACTTGTAAACTAAAATAGATGATTGCCAAATGAGGTTTAAGAATAATTAAAAATATAAATTTTTTCATGTATTTGTAATTACTCTTTTTTAAATTTCATTGAATTATAGTTTTCTCTAATCTGAATGCAAAATACGACTCGAGGGATGCACCTAAGGATGTAATCGATTCAGTTTGATACAGTCGTTGTTTAGGTAAAGTTTTATACCGAATTGATAATGTCGGTTTTATTATTTTGAGTATTGATACAGACTACTTTTTCGATCAAACCACACCAATTGAAACGGTACAATTCGGTGCGGTTTGATTGGTTTAGGACTTTTCAAATTTGAGTCACTTTTTAGAATTTGAGTCATTTTATGTTTAAGTTACTAATCTATGTAAAAAATATTGAATTTGTCATTTGTCCACCACATTCAAACATACTTATTAATCCATCCATTTAATAAAGGGAAAATTGGTCTAACATCCCTCTCCAATTTTTGGTATTGGAAGAGGTCAACAATAATATTTTTTGTAGTCTAAGGTCCCTCCCCCATACCCATATAAAAGGTTCAAAGGTTTGTGAAAGGTTCATGTACAATGAAGACATGAAATCCCTCGCTGAATTCCTATTCTCAAGGTCCAAATCTCAAGACATTCAAGAAGAAGAAGAACAACAATTCGATCAGAACAACCCAGTTCAAGAAATCATCAAGAACGATCAAGTGAACTCTGTTTCTATGAATTCAAGAACCCAAGAAATCGAATTTCGAGTCGAAGAAGACGATGATGAAGAAGTTGAATTGCCACCAGAGGATTGTGATCTCTTCAAAGGAGATTGGGTTTTAGATAATGTGACTCATCCAATATATAGAGAAGATGAATGTGAGTTCCTTACAGCTCAAGTCACTTGCTTGAGAAATGAAAGAAAAAACTCACTCTATCAGAATTGGAAGTGGCAACCTAGAGATTGTTCTCTACCCAAGTACCAATTTTCTTACTTTAATTCTCTCTTTTTTTGTGATAGGTTTATGTTGTTATTGATGATTGGGTGTGTTTGGTTGAAGGTTTAAAGCAAGATTGTTTCTAGAAAAATTGAGAGGAAAGAGACTAATGTTTGTTGAAGACTCGTTGAATCGGAATCGGTGGGAATCCATGGTTTGTTTGGTTCAATCTACTGTTCCATGAGGGAGGAAAAGCTTATCCAAGAATAGCTCTCTCTCTGTTTTCAGAATCCAGGTCTCTCTCTCTCTCTCTCTCTCTCAAAAAGATTACAACAATTATATTTTCTTAAATATCACAGTAGAAATTGGCTCTGATGATTAGTCTAGAGAAATTTGTAAAAGGTTCAAAGGTTTTTGATGTTAGTTAAGAGATCCAGAGAAATTTGATATTAATTTAGAGAAGTTTGAATATTAGTCTAGAGAAATTTGTGAAAGGTTCAAAGATTTTTTATGTTAGTTCAAAGATCCAGAGAAATTTGGTTAAAGAGAAATAATAGAGACCCTTTTTTTCCTTAACTCTCACAACCCCCACAAACACTTGCCAGTGAGTGATAGGAGGGAAAAAAAACAAAAAAACAAAAAGTTGGTCAATCCCAATACATTGGGGGGTGATGGGGGTCAAGAAAAAAAAGTGTCTCAACCTTTTTATGAACCCAGAGAAATTGAATTTTCTCTGGTTTATAAATGAATCTAGAGAAATTTGAGTTTGAATTTGAACCCAGAGAAAATTAGTCAAAATAAACCCAGAGAAATTTGAATTTTCTCTGGATTAAACCCAAAGAAATTCTTTGGGAAGTTCAGAATTTCTCTGGGAAGAATTTCTCTGGATTAAAATTTCTCTGGCTCAATGTTGAGGGACCTTAGACATTATGAAAATATTGAATGTTCTTTATGTTATAAAATCTTAATATCAGGGATCCTAAAAAAACCCCTTTAATAAATACTTTCCAATTCCTAGATTAACAAAAATATAAATATAAATAAATATTAAGATTTCAATAATAATGAGTTAGAGTTAAAATTATATAATAAAGTTTTACTAATTTAGGTTATAGGAATGATAAAGTTAACTAATAATATAATAATGGTTTAGGTATGGCTTATTTAGTGACTTTTTATTTTTAAACAAAAATCCATGTAAAAAACTAGGTAGGTGATGTGATAATTTGTAGCAAATAAGTCAATAAACAACTAATTTAGATAGTTGTCAAATCACCTAATTGAGGTTAATAATTTATTATATTTATTAGTATCTTTATATTATTAGATTATATATATTATATTTATAATATATATTGAAGCGATCGGTTTCGATTTAGTTCGGTGTATAAAGTGCTTGAACCGATACTGAATCAAAAACAAAAAAAATAAATCAAATTTAAAAACCACACATACCGATTATTATTAAAAAACAATCTAAATATAAACGATTCAGTTCGATTCAATCAATTTGGTTGTTTTTTTTTTATTTTTCTTATACCCCTAGGTTTAAGGATTTTCTTTTTACATATTTTTGGGCAAAAAACACTTAATCCCCTTGCGGTTTTGGATTGTCACAAATGACTCTCTAACGTTTGAAAATATGTAAACACCTCTCCCATAATTTTGGACTATCTGCAATTATTATTTTTCCCATCCAAACAAACGATAAGTATATTAGATATTTAAATATTTTAATTCACGTAACACTTAATCATTTTTTTATTTATAATTGGTTGCTCATATGGATAGGAAATTAATGTTTTCATTTTTACTACACTGAAATGTATAATTTACTTTATTATTTTTGTCTCTTTACATGATTATAAAAATATTATTCTCCCATCATTGATTATATATATAATTTTTTTAAAAAGTCATTATTCATTTTTCTGTTACAACATTACACCAATATTTAGGTTGAAAGAGAGTCGACAGAAAGAATAGTGACAAAACATTTGGTGTACTTGCAACCTTAAATATTTTGTATTTGCTTTTTTACAAAGAAAAAAAATTTCATTTTATAAATATTCCGTATTGTATCTTGATCTTTCTTCTAGATAATCTATTCAAAAAATGGCAAAAATATTTTGAAAAATTATAAAACAATTTTCTTATTTATTTCTTTTTCTCTCCTTTTAAGTTAAACCATACATAAACAGAATATAATTTTTCTCTCCTAACTGACATAGCATAATTGATTAATGTGAAAGGGTTGGACTTCTTTTATATTCATAGCATAACATGAGAGGAGTCTTATTTCGATAATTCAAATAATTCATTTTGTAAAGCCCTCAATGTATATTATCCATGAAAAAAATAATAATTTGATCCAATAATCAAAATATATATATATATATATTATTGCAGTTGTCTCTGAAAAAAATGGACAATGAATATATTTTTGAAAATAGAGATAAACAAGATAAAATGAAAATGTTACGATTATCAGATTGACCTAATTTTTTTTATGTAATACTTGTGCTCCATAAGTTAATTAGATGCATTTAATTTCATCATTTTGTTGTTGGGATCTTTTGGGTGGTGTATCATTGTGTTGGTTGAGTGAGAATTTGATCTAGACTTTGTTGGGGTTGCTCTTTTGCTCTTAGTTTTGTCGGAAAAGTGCTTAGGAACCTTGAAATTCTATTCTGAATGTCAACACTCAGCCTCTTGGGGTCAACACGTGCTTCCTTTTTATTTTCTCTTTTGTTTCTGCTTCCTGGTGTTGACACCAAGGCATGATGGTGTCGACACTGCTGGACTTGAGTGGCTCATAATACGGCACTGCTTTCTGGCATTGACACTAGGGCTCATTGGTGTCAACACCTAGTCTATTTCACTCTTGCTTGCGGCGCTACCACATCGAAGTGTCAACACTCCTTTATTGTGTTTTGGGCCCTACTTTTGGGGTTTTGATTTATTTTTTTGGTTGACTTTAGGGTAAATATTCCACTTTTGACCTAGAACTATAAATAGACCTCTATGCATTCTATCTCCTCACTTCTTCTTCTTCATCTTCTTCTTCCTCTCTCTCTCTCTCTGTCTCTCTCTCTCTAAACACTTGTTTCTTTAGATCTACTTACTTCGGGTCATCCCCCCACCTTGCTCCTTTGATATAGATTGTAGAGCACGTTGAGGGCTTCATACTAACCTTAGCAAATTGTCATTTTGCCACTTTTGACTTTTGGGGCTTTTACTCTTTTTCATCTTCTCTTTGCTTCGAGGTAGGAATTTCTTTGATTCTCTAATGCCTTACTATATATAGACATGTAGTAGTTTTTATTGCATAAAAACATGATTGTTCTGAGAGTTTTCTAAAAACATGAAGATGGAGGGAGGGGGGGTTTAGGGTTTGAGCTTTGTGAGTTTGAACTTGTATTTTGTGCTTGATTATGTCAAATAAGTGTTATGGAGCATGCTTAAGGTGTTAGAACTTGGAAGCCCTAATTTTTTGTTTATTTAATGAGTTTGAGTAAAGAGATAAATTGGTGATTTAAACATTTGTTGGGTTATATTTAGTAAAGTGAACTAATAGGGTAAAATGGGTAGAGAAGGAAATCAAGGGTTATTTAGAATTGATGCATATTTTGAATTAAAAGGAATGTTTTAACAGATAATGATCTAATGTAATGATTGAAAATTAAAAACATGATGAGTACTATGGATTTGAGTTCTATTGTAATTGTTAAGAAATTGAGAAGAGCAAGGATTTCATTAGTTCATATTGTTGATATTCTATATGCCATGTTGATAGTTAAGGGATATTATGGGAACTATCTTGTTTTAATTATGAGGTTTTATATTATTTACTGCTAAAGGCTTTGTCTTTGACCGTTGGTGGATAATGGTATTGTTTGTTATAGAATAGATTATCCAAGTCCTGTGTAGCTGATTAAATGTGTAATCATGTGAGTAAATGAGAATGTATGTTTATGGTTTGAGCTGTAATGTGTTGTGGAATGTGAAAGTACTATATAGAGGGTCTGTTTCCTTCTGATTGTTGGACAATCTTCACTGTATTTGAAAAATAAATTCTGTTTGTGTACTTAACAACAAACGAAATACAGAAGAAATAAAGGAAATGAAAGAATTTGTTTTATTACAAAAATTAAACCAAAAAATAAAATAAAATAAATAAAAAAATTTTTATTTTGTTACAAAAACAAAATGAGAATCTGAAGTAGAAAAAAATAATAAAACAAAAAATAATTAATTACTTACCAAATTAATATGTTGAACAAATTTTCTAATCAAGTCCAGTGTTTGACACTATCTCCTTAAGATAGATTCGTCCTCTCCATAGTACTTTCAGATTGTGGACGTCTATCTCCTAGGATAAAATGATCAACAGCAAACAATAGCAGCACTACAAATTGTTTGTACAACGAACACACTAAGTGTTTATACTCTTTCTCACAGAAATTTAATGCAGCAAAATGTAGAGAATTATTGCAGAGGAGAAGTACGAAAATTGTGAATGAAAACATCGAATGAGGGGCTAGTCTATTTATAGGAGAAATTGTGGCTGTTAGGTTTGAATTAAACAGGTGCAAACCTGTTTGAACAGGTATGGTTTGAATTTAAATAGGTAAGGCACTGTTTGGGTTTGAATTTGAATAGATACTGAATCTGTTCCGGTTTAAATTCAAACAGATAAAAACCGGGCATAATTATAGTGGAGGAAAAATCGAGCAGAAATTAATTTCCGAATTTCAAATTTCAAAAAATTAGAATTTAATTTTCAAAAAATAAAATTCAAAAGTGTTTTGCCCAAAAAATAATTAGTATTGGGCCGGACAAGCCCAACCCAACTTCACACCACGCCCAGCCTTGCCCACCCGTGTTTATTTTTGGGTCCAATGGGTCTAGCCTACTTTGCCCATAACCTCCCTCTCTACAAAACTTGGGTGCCCCTTAGAGCCTACCCCAAGTTTCAAACTCAAGCCTCATAAATCCACTCAAAGTATGTCTACCAAATCAATGTGGGACAAGCCTTAAACCAAACCTTTAGGAAATTTCACCAAAAAACTCCATTTCCATAGAGCTCACTTTGACTTCAAATTTCCATTCACCCGATAATGGTTTTGAGTAACCAAATATACCACGTCAATCACAATGTCACATAGAACGCATTACCACTTAGACCCGCCAAATTTGGCGCATGGGTCCCACCTAAAAAATAGACCAAAGTTAAGGAAAAAA